GTTGCTCCTCCTCTTTTCAGCTTCTCCTCAAGCCACCGAAGCATTACCCAAGAGTCAAACACCTCTACAATTACTCCTAATCAAGTCAAGGCCTAACGCCAGAATCGTAACTCCTCTCTCATACGCCACTATCGAGAAAATTAGCGCAAGAAATTGTTGTAGTTCAGCATCGGCGATGTTGTTGTGTGTGAAAGAGGTGGGGACTTGAGCTTATCGGTGAAGATTTTGACTGATGGATTGGCCTAAATATAAATTTTCAATAAAGACGATGGAGATATTCCTAAAGCTTACTCTTTGAAGAAGAAAACCATAAAGCAGAAGTGGTTCAAAAGTTGTTGATATTATAATTATTGACTGCATTGGTTATCAAAAGAATTAGCTAATATGTTAGATCTTTGCCTTAACCCTCAAAGCAAGAAGAAGAGGGCCGTCATTAGCTAAACAATCTTTTTATCACAAGCAAAGCTTGCAAGGAGTAGCCATTATCTCCAAAATGTCGTCTACGGTAGGCCTTGGCGATTTGGGGAAGACAACTCTCCTCTAACATGTCTATGAAGATGAGATTACAAGGCATTGTAATATTAAGATGTTGATTTATGTTGCCCAGCTCCTTTGGAATGAAAAGCCATTACAGACATTGTGGAATCTCTCAAAATGGAGAAGCCTGATTTAGAGCCATTTGATGCATCTAAAGTCAATCTTGCATCAAGGTGATGTGCAAAGTTCTGGTTCATAACCGATGACATTTGGGAGAAAGAAGAGGCGCAAAATAAAGGCAAATGAGATGTGGTGCGGATGATGGGTCGCCACACGTGAGCAACCGTGCACTTGTTTCAACATGGAGGGGAAATCTTTTATGCTTGTCTTTTTTTTTATGCAGGTGCTTGAACACGTGCACACTTTATTAAGCATGGTGGGCAAGAAACACGTACGTATCATGTCGGCCCGAATGGAATGGCCCTGCGTGTGTTATTTTTTGGTGCATGTACACGAAGCTCTGTGCACGTTTTTTTTAAGTGATGAGTTATGAAGACATCCAGACCGCATTATCAAAAAACAACAATTATGCAAGTTTTTTTAAGTATGGTAGGAATGTCTTCGCTTCCCGATGTAGCCCCCCAAACGGAGATGGCGTCGGAAGCCTATCAGATTTTAGATTAAATGAACCCACAACGAACAATGCTTAACAAACATGTTGAAGATACAAATGATTGAAATAAAAAAATATGTAAGTTTTAAATAAAAAAATGAACACATGATTGGACAACGGAGGATTCAATAGCTCATGGACGAGCGTGAACGAAACCTACAATAATTCGACAATTTGCTAACGGGCACAGATATAACCTCTCAATGAACATTCAGGAAATATTGTGTCTATATTGAAGAAGTTGAGCGGGAACCTGATTCATACAAACATTTAAATGTGAAGCAAAAGCTCATCTACAAGCAAAAACAAGCACTAAATGATCAAATCACAAAGACTTAAATTTTCATTTGCAAGCACTAGCTAACCCTCATTGAAACCTAAAGATTTAGTAAAACTCGCGGTTGGATCTGCAATACTTCTAGACTAGAAAACAGAAGGTGTTACTCGAGGGATTTAAAGTGAAAATTTGAATGTATTTCAAAACAAAAAAATCTTTATTCAAGTTTCTAAACTTTGAGAATCCTAAGCTTAAACTCAAATGCATTACTTCAAAGATCGTGCAAGAATCTCAAAACCAATGCATATCACAAACACCTGAATGTGCTTCTATCAACTTATACAGTGCTCATATATTTTGTTCGAGAATGATGTGTGAGCTGCATAAGAGTTTATATTAAGATGTGTTACACCTCCAGATGTGTGTAGATTATATAAATTTTATGACAATCTTTTTTCTCTAAAATTGGATTCAACATTATTAACCTAAGCACGCTCTCAAAGATTGTAAGTTCAACATTTGGCCAGTCTGGCTTTCCTCTTCAACAGGAACTAAGGTTTACAATGTTTGTGCCCACTCTAACTAATTTGGTCTTCCCCCTCACAGGGATGGGAGCCGACAAGACTAAGCCCAACTTAGCCAATCTGATCCTCCTTAAGAAGATTGGAGCCAAGACTGACACCTTTTTGAATGCTCAATCTGCTAAATTTAATCAAATTATAAAATAAAAATTTTAATCTCAATACCCCGAGGATGACCGTGTTGAATGCGGATTTCAACTAAAGGAATTTATTCTTAAAATCAAACTTTAATATTTTACAATTTTAAAATTTTATATTAAATCTATCACTTCAAAGATTAAGAGAATCTCATCCATCCTCCGCAATAGTTTGTCGAGGATGACAAATTAAGATTAACCAAAACTCATAAAGAGCTACTTTCATATCATTTATAATATTCAATTCACACTCAAAACAATCCCACGCCAATAAGAACGTGACCCATGTCCTCTTTATGTGTGGTTTGACCCAATGACTCCACAATGAAAAAGTTACAACTGGAGCCCTCTGATCAGTTGATTTAGCCAATAGGCTCCATCAAATAGTTTGGCCAATAGGCTTAATCAGGTAGTTTGGTCAGTAAACTCTATCAAGTTGTTGGGTCAGTAGACTTCATTAGTTGATTTGGCAAACAAACTCCACTATTAAGATCATGGCTATTGCTCGTATGTTCCCCAATAATTTTGCTTATTTCAACTAAGAACAATAAGGTATGCTTGATAAGGCACAAAACTTTTTGTTGGCTAAGGCGGCTTAAATTTGTCCCCTTAGACATTCACCTCAAGTCTATAAGATTCTCTTGAATGAAGCAACTCATGGTTGTTGACAATGATCCTTCTATTAAGTTGAGTCGATTATCTCCTCTGACAGAGTAAATCAAGGTTCAAGGCAATTTGGGATGATGTAATTAGGGGATGTTGATCAGGTTCGTCATCATTCTCCCACCATCGGCTCTAAGCTAACACTGATAATTTTATAATTTCAATTTGTTGCTACTATTTGTTAAACATAAACACAATGACTGGCTTAATTGAAAATGTTATCCCATTTTCAGGAGGAGTAATTAACCATAGATTTTTTGTGCATATGGGAAACCTCGAAGCCCAAATCTTAAAGTCCTCGCAAAATGATAGTAAAATCTCTAGATATTGTCGTATCTACTATCTCATGTGCCTTCCAATAATTTGACCTGGAACCTCATGATAAACTCCCTCATATCATTTCTCATATTCTCATTCATTCTTTTCTTTTAAAGGGAGGCCAAGGAATCGAATTTACAAAGCCCACACTGGCAAAAAAATGTATTAATTTGGTATTCAGTTTGTCTAGAGTTTTTACCAAGCTAAGCATTGATTTCTTAATTTATATGATAGTTAAACTATCATTACCCACGTTGCTAACCTGAATGGGATTCAAGCAGAACATACATACATGCCTGGATTTGCCATAGTCAAAGCCATCGGGTTGTCCAAAAAGCTCATTTTTCGCGAACAGCTCGTGTTCGGCTCGTTAAGTAGCTCGTGTTCGGCTCGTTCGTTAAGTAAAGGAGTCGAACACGAACAAGTTTTAAAAGCTCGAATTACAAACGAGCTGAACACGAACAGCTTATCGAAATAAAAAAATTATATAATTATTTATATAAAAATATATTACACATATTATTTATATAATTATATATTATATATATTTATATCTAAGTTTAAATCGTAACTGCTCTTATGGTAATGTGGTTATGCGTCTTGTTTTGCATACATTTGATTTAGGTTCGAATCTAGCAATTTACATCTATTTTTTTCATTTTAATTTTAACGAGTCAATTTCGAGTCGAACAAAAACATGAATATTTAAATCGAGTCGAACACAAACACTTTGTTCACGAGCCACTTTCGAACACGAGCCAATTTCGAACACGAACAATTTCGAACGAGCCGAACACGAGCCAAGCCTGAGCTCGCTCAAGCTCGGCTCGTTTACATCCCTAAAGCCATTAAGGCCTGAAATTTTGGCTGCCCAAGCAAACACGCCAAGATTTTGAGCATTCCCTAAGTTTGACATAGGTGTTGGCAGTTGCTACTTCGACAACAACATAGGTAAATCCATGTTTGTTACAACATTGCCAATTAGGTAGTTTAGTGACAAGAAACAAAAAGTTACTATTAAGAACATAGGTAAAACTCACACTTAGCAATGCTTGTAAACTTGCACGAGCAACAATGAGATACTCCAGCTCTCACTAGCTCTTCAAGGAGAAAGAAAGAGTTAAGTTGAATTAATCATTTACCACTTAACTCTCTATGTATAAAAAGAATAGAAAACGATGATTATTATTAAACCAAATAAAAAGGTTGTACATTTTGATTAAGAGGTAAACAATGAGAATGTTTTATTTTCACACTTTTTCTAGTGATCTAGAATAAGAGCATGCTAACATCTATTCATGTTAATACATGGTTCTATTGTCAGATATTTCTAGGAAAATCTACCGCGAACTTTCACTATTCACAGGAATTAGTGATTGAAACAGGAATTAGTGATTGAATACGCCAAAAAAAAAAACGATAAGAATCAGCTCAGAAAATGTTTAACAATTGAGCAAAGATTGCAATGAACATATTTTAGTCATGCCCTAGTATTATGAATATATTATTGCAGACTGTTGAAACCTATAATGATATACACCCAATTCATATGTGATACGATTGCACCCGGAGGTGAGTGAAGCCTACAAAACAGTCATATGTTTCTTCTCTTCGGTCCTGGCGCAGCCGATCATTCTCGACAGTAAACCTCGACCCAAAAAATAGTAATCACGAGTAAATCAAGATATTAATTCGCCATGCCACTTCAAAATAAAAAACAATAACGCAATAGATTCAACAACCCGAACAACCGGATCTCCCGGTCCAGTTCTACTTTCTATATCAACAAAAAGGAAAAAAATCTAAACGAGGAATGCGTAAAGCAAGCAAAAGAAATAAATCAAATCCAACGAAAACAAAGACAGAAAGCATACTGGATAAATGATTTCCCATCGGAGGATGAGGAATTGATGCTCGCCTCCGACGCGTAAAGGCCCTCGCTACCGCCATGGAAGAAAAAGGAATTTGAGCGAGGAATGAATGACCCATTCTTGTACTCGTGTATCGAGCCCAAAGAAAATAAAGGGCTGCTTAATAGAACAAGTAACCCTAGAAGAAAACCAAGGGAGATCAGATCTGGAGGATGAAGAATAAGAATTGCTCCTAGAGCTCCCATCTATCTTGCTTACTACCAACAACGATATCGCAGCAGAATAAAGAGAAGAAATAGGAGAGGTGGAGGCCGAGCGCAGCGCACTGAAGCTGGTGGAATTCTACTATTGGAGAAGCCGATCTCGAAAATGAGGCATAATTACTCGGACTGAACCATCGAAGTGATCAAAAAGTAAACTTTCCATTCACGATAGTATGAAAAATTAGTAAATTGCCACCCCGTCGACAAAAAACTGAACATAGTTTCGGACGAGGATGGGTATTCCAGTAATTAAACTTTCTGCCATGATTTTCTTACACAAGATTGCTGCGGCTGATGGTCAATTAATCCCATGAGGCTCAAATAATTATGAGATTTGTATAAAAATTACATAAATATTTATATATTTATATATTTAATTTTAAATTGAATATTTATTTATGTAACTCGTTTTTAGCATCACATTAAAAATTATCATTAATCTTTCCTAAACGAATATATTCTTTTATACAGATAACTTAATGTCATTATAATATTGAAGAATGATGTGTAAATATTAATTTTAGTTATTAAACATATAAATAGATAAAAGATTTGTGATATATATGTGATTTTTTTATTGTTATATATCCTTTAAATTTTTTTAAAATATCAATTACCTAGTTTCTATTAAACTTTTCACCTATAATTTATTAATTTTATTTGTAAAAGGCTTTCACTACTTTAAAAATTTAAAAGCTACTTTTATTTTATTAAATAAATAATTCAAAACCAGTAACATTAATGTGTACTAGAGAATTTGCAATAGTAGAGTCATAAATTATCGTCTTAGCGTGCACTAGAATCCAGAATCATCATAGGGGTTAGCCTTGTTGAAATGATTCACTATGAGTTGGTGATTATATGTGCAGACTCTTGTTCCACATGCGGGGAAAGAGTTTCACAGTTTCTCGAATTACAACGATCATGCACAGAAGAGTTCTTGCCCCACATAATGAAATGGTCGTAGCGAGAAGTTGTTGGAGTTTTGATACGTCGTTTTCGAGGCTAGCACAACGTTCGCAACGATGCACTACTATGTTTGGTGCTTCGTGACTCTGTAACATCAGTTGTTCTTCTAATGGGGCTTCGTCGCTCTTCAATGAAAGTCTTGACTCCGTATGAAGCTTTGATGCGATGAGTAAAAAGTAGTTGATGGTGGCTAACGGTGGCTGATAGTGTTTGGTGGCTGCAGAAGCGAAAGGTATTTGTCGGAACTTCAGTGCACAGACAATGTTTGACTTCAGCTCCTCCAAGCTTCGGTCTTCTTCTGGCACAAAGGTTCAAATCCCCCAATCAAGAGGGAGTATGACTTTATTTATAAATTATATTAGAGACCTTTATGAAAATATGAAAAAGAATTCACACTTCAATCAGACGGTCTGGAAAAATTTTGTCAATTTGATGATATTTAGTAAAAATTTGAGTGTCTTAATGATGTCAAAATTGAGCAATCTTGATTTTGTTGGATTGATATCGTGAAGACGCTATAGTTGAGTATAAGCTTGTCAAATTTGGAATTTATTTGACATTTTAATTATGTATTGAAAGCTTTCGAAAGTGGTTTAACAACTAGGACTTGATTTTGACTCGGATTTGACCGATTTTGATATCATTAGATTTGTCTAATTGAGTTTGTCAGTTTGACTGTAAGTTTGATTAAATCAAAATTCTAGGTAACTTTTAATTGAAGTTTGAATCTTTCAGGCTAAAAAATTATTTTGAGATTCGTGTCATGACTTAGATTCAAGCTGAATGATGGAAATTTGTTGGTAGTATATTAGTTTCCTCCCTATTTTCAGACGAGGCTAACTTCGTCGACCGAAAATTACATATATACATATACATACATATATCTATATACATACATACATACATACATATATATACATACATATATATACATACATATCTATACATACATATATATACATACATATATATACATACATATCTATACATATATACATACATATATATATATACATACATACGTATGTATGTGTATATGTAAAGTGTATATTTACATATAAAGAAAGTTTTCGAATCTAATTGGTAGCTAGTTGGTTTTGTTTGTGTGAGGGCATTGGTTCAAATCCCTTGGCCTTCAAAAATTCAAGTATTTATGTCATCGAAGATCGGAAGTGGGGACCAGCTGCTGGAGGTGGTCAGAGCTATGGAGGTTAATTGCCTGTGACAATAAGAGTTGGTTGGAGGCGGCGACTGCTAGTGGCCAACGGTAGTCGATGACAACGGCAGCCAGAGTTGGTCGAAGATGGAGGCAGTTGGCGGCAACGGTTGGAGTTAGCCATATTTGCAGACATTGGTGAGTTTTGATTTTATTTTCATGGAAAATTGATTAATATAGAAGCTAGCATGATAATAGGCAAGATTTGGAGCTTGCATGCATCAAAAGGCCTGAATTTAAATGGAATGGGACTTAATGCTCTATTTGTAAGTTGCCTATAAGAAGGCCTGAATTTAAATGGAATGGGACTTAATGCTCCATTTGTAAGTTGTCTATCAATGCTTATAACCTTTGCTTGTTGGGCCACATCACCCATCACCTTTTTGGCATGCCATATGCCCTTAATGCCAGTCAAATCAATTTTATTACATACCTTCCGTTAGTCACATTTTCTTATTAATGTATTAGACCTTAAGCTCACTCACCTTCCCCAATATACACAAAATAATAATAATAATAAAATTAAAAGCAGCTCGCTCCCTTTCTCCTTAACTGAGACACGTCAGCTCTTCTACCATCTACTCGTGGTCGTGAACCATCCTTTCTCCATCCCCCTCGCTTGGGAGAGATTATTAGGTCCGTCGTTCGGACACCGAGCTACGTCCGGGCAACGACTGTGATACAACCAAGGTTGGATCTCCGTTGTATCACGGTCGTCACGCAATAATTTTTCCTCGATTTGAGCATCAAGCAGCACCTCCAACCAAAGAAAAACAACCACCAATGAACTGCACAAGCGTCTCCATTTCCTCAAATAGTGAGCGCCAAAGCAAGGTGAGTAATTTCTCTCTGCTCTTCTCTCTCTCTCTCTTACATTTGTTATACATGCATGCCACGTATTTCTTATGTATTTTGCTTATGCAGTGCCCAAATCGTATGTATTGACATATCTATTGCCTACATTTTAATATTTGTAATCTCTTACATTTATACCATCTTGTTAGATATGACTCATATACCATAAATGGACAGTGCTAGATCAGGAGCGGAGTAGAGTGGAAGATTCTGTCCAAATCAGGGGAGTTTCTTTATGTGGGTTGGGGGTGTGGTACAGAGTTTGGTAATTATATATTGTACCCAAGGTTTCATTTTTATGTGTTTTCTAGGGTTATAAAATTAGGCTTGTATAAAGTATTCTGTACTTTTTCTGAATTAGTGAAAAGTCGCCTCTCTGCTCCCGAGGATGTAGGCATCTTTGTTGAACCTCGTTAAATCTCTTTGTGTTCTTCTGGATTTGTGTCGTTCTTATTTTTTCTTCGCCCTAATTCCTCAACAAGTGGTATCAGAGACTGGTTCGAGGGCAAGGAAGAAAATTTCAGCGCAAGGAATCAGAGTTTGGCGGCCTGGGCTTCGAGCATAGGACTTTCGAGGGCTTGGAGACTTTCGGTCTCGTCTGCGGAAGATCGGATCACGTTTGGCTCGGTGGCATCCGTTTCAGCGAAGGCCAAAGCTTGGATCGCGACAGGAGAAAGGTCGACAGGTTTCCGCATAAGAGATTCGACGAGGCTTCCGTTTCTATGACGTAGCTACTTAGGTTCGGCGACGAAGCTTCCGTTTAGTGAACAGGCGTGATCTGCGAACTTCTTCGAGCGGGCTTTGGCGGTGTTCAGACCTAGCACCAAAGAGAAATTGGAAGGGAATCAA